ACTTAGAATTTTGATGTTTTGTATTTATAACGAGTAGGATCAGTACTTAGAATTTTGATGTTTTGTATTTATAACGAGTAGGATCAGTACTTAGGATTTTGATGTTTTGTATTTATAACAAATGGGATCAGTACTTAGGATTTTGATTTTTTGTATTTATAATGAGTGGGATCAGTACTTGGATTTTGATTTTTTGTATTTACATGAATGATATTGATTGAGACAAAATTTGTTAATCAGCAATACTTTAAGGAAGACATTAAACTCATGGGCGTTTCTGGAAGACATTAAACTCATGGGCATTTCTGGCTATATTGAGCATGTTGAGGTATTACAGAATGACTGGATCTACTTTAATTATAGTAAGTGCAAGATATTACATTTGAGTTATAAATTGAATCACATGATTAATAATATAGATAGAAACCAACTCAATAGCTTGACTAAACAAAAGGATTTTTATGCAGCATTGGATAAGCTACCGAACCAATGCAAAGTCAAAAGAAGTAACTTTCTCTCTATGAAAAAAATCATCGATTAGGCTTCACTTAGAATACTGTGTATAGTTTTGGTCCATTTACTTAAGAACAAACACTTAATTATTGGAGAGCTCAATGGAGAACTACCAGGATGTTTCTGAAGACAGAAAAGTTAGCGTATAGCGATAGGTTTAAGCCACATTAACTTGTTTACCCTTGAGAAAAAAATGGTTAAAAAACAATCTCATAGAAGTTTACAAAATTATCTGTGGAATTGATAAGATAAAGTCCTCTGATTTTTTTATTCTCAAGGTAATAATATGAGAAGTTCATGGTTTGGAAAAGACAGACTAAACTCTATTTAAGATTGAGATGTTGAATGAGTTGTCATCAGAAATAATGGAGACTAGTACTTTACAGGAGTTTCTTTAAGTAAAATGAAGGGTTTAAATTTTTACTTTTCTCAAGGGTGGATGTTCAAAGACAGCTTTGAAGGGCCAAATTGTCCCTCGTTGTCCACACATTACGAATAGTGTGGTCAATTAACATCTTTACAAGCCATTAGTTTAATCACACAGCTTCTTAATTTTCACCTTGCTATAGAATAGCCACTTGATACTAATAGTAAACTTAAGTAAGATAAGGGGTTTGGGAGATGTACCATTTCCATTCATCACCACTGACAGAGTTTTTAGTTTCATCTTTAGCATTCACATGATCATCTGTTCTTGGAAGTTCCAATTGGAAAATATCTTTCACAAATTGAAGTATCTAATACAAACAAAAAACAAACTTTGTTAGTTTGAGTCTGTATAAATGATGATATATTTTTATGATTCACATTTGAAACAAAATACAGTGCGATCACTCAAGTTCACGAAAACAAAGGAACTCTTTCATTTAATCAGTACTAAAATTTTAATTTGTTAAAGTGCAGGACAGAATGTTTTTCATCTAGTTGGTTTGATAATTTGAGGGCATTATCTACAACAAACAGTCTGCTTACGGCAGAGAGCTGCACAGCTCAGTGATCAAGTCGCTACAATTGTTGTATGAAACAAGAAGTAACAACAAAAGGGGAATGTGAA